TTGACTGGTGCGGGCGGGCGGGAATGCCCGTCATTTCGGCTATTCGAGATTAAATTTTCCTCTCTCTCCATGCTCCAGCCCTTCCCAGGCCTCTCTCCAAGATGATTAATTCGACGCGCGTACTGGCTTGTTGGTCTCCGGCCGCAAACCGACATCACAACTGCTCGTGGAAAAGAAGGAGCTGAGAATTTTGGGATTTTCGCTCGAAAATGCTGGTTAGGAATGTTTTGAGCGTTTTTTAAATCGAAATACAACGAAGTCAGTTTACGTTGAGATGCAATTCATGGTATCGATCAATGTCTCCATATATATACAGGGTGACTTCGAAGTTGAGTCATTTATTTCAACAGTGAGTAGATCTGATCAATAGAAATGTTTTTTTCCTTTACCATTTTTCTGGTAAAATTAAAGTAACAAAGTTACAGCCCTTTGGAAGTTTGAGTACCGCCCTGTCTCAATCATAATATTATGTGCTCGTGTTTGGCAACAACGGATATAATCCGCCTTATCGGTTCATCGCATCGGAAACAAAAAAGCGAAAGAATTTGGAACGATGTTTTTACAATTATTTTATTCAGTTGTATACAGTCAGTGTCAGTCGGTAACGCGTGAGTGAATAGTGGTGTCTGTTGCGTGGTGATTCGTTATCAAACTTCACTAATAGATAATCAAATGTCCCAATGGATTGAGAAATAAACTATTATTGGTTATACAGGGTGTCCCAATATTCCCTGGACACAGAGGTACCCCGAATTTTTGGAGTCAAAGTGATTCTATTGGACACGATTTAGCTCCTTGCAATAGTGCTTCACATTCAAAACACATGTTTCAAAATATTTTGTCCAGTCCACGTATTTGGCGTCTAAAAATACTCTATTCCTTACATTTTCAAGCATATCTTCAGTTATTTGTTCACATTCAGTCGTAATCCGCTGACGAAGGTCTTGAATGAAATCTGGCTTCGTATTAAAAACTTTTCTTTTTAAATGCTCCCAAAATAAGCAGTATTTGAGAGTGTTAAAGCGGACCCGCAATCGCTGCCATTTTTCACATGTGGACATAACAATACACGCATCCGAACACATTACCAGGATGCACCGAATTACTCAACTGTTCTTCTTCCACGGAGATCTGAGCGTTTGCCGAAAGATTCATGGCCGGGTGGTAGACGGACCGCGGTGGTCCAACTTCGACCCACTGGACCCGAAAGCATTGTCGTCGAGAATTCCGGTGGAGTCCGCCGCGGTGATGTCGAGACCTCACAGGGGTGGACAATAGGGTCACTAGTCGAACTCGCTCGGCTGAATTCAAAATTACATATCGCAGACGTCCGCTTTTGTTTATATTTATAGCTACAAACTGTTCCGTCTGGGATCCGAAACAGACGGGGGATAGAGAATAGCATCGTTTAAACTCTAAAACAAAATATACATAAGAGTGCCGAGTCAGTATTCGCAGTAACAAGAACTGAGTTTCCTTAGTCTTTTTGCACTAAAAATCTCAAAGTCACCATTATTCACCGCATTCCTATAAGGCTAAATAATGGTAATGAAAAATCCTAGGTAAATAACGAATGTGTACCTATTTGGCTTCTTCGACACAGAATTCTCACAGCTTTATTTATCCATTTTTCTAAATACCTAAGCAGCCGTGCAGGCAGAAGCCTAAATACCAGGACACCGCGCCTATTACATGGAGCTTAAAAAACGATCTTTAAACTGCCTAATGTTGGTAGAACAATTTAAAAGGTAATAACGAGGGATGTCTTTTAAGTTTTGCATATAGAACATAGTAGGCCGCGCGGATCGAACGTCAGTACTGAATCTTAACCTCACTCTTTAGTAAACTTAAATTCAAAGTTTCACAACAATACGTGCAGTGTTCTCACTACAGTGAACTCATCAAAGAAGATAGACATTTTACATATCGCGAGGTTGAGGCGTCCTTGAAGATCTCAAAGACCTCAATTTAAAAAAAATTACATGAAGAATTGAGTAAGAAAATTGGTTTTTCGTTGGATACCCCACCTGTTGACTGAAGAGCAGAAAGCAGCCAGGGTAAATTGGTGTCAAAAAACGCTTGAACGTTTCAATTCCGGAAACTCATAAAATGTGTACAGCATTGTTAGTGGTGACGAATCGTGGATTTACTGTTATGAACCAGAAAATAAACTACAGTCTGCTGTTTGGGTATTCCAAAGTAAAGAAAAGCCAACAAAAGTCATCCGTTCTCGAAGTGTTTGGAAAAGATGGTCATATTGCAACAATTCCTCTTAATGAGCAAAGAACTGTTACTGCGGATTGGTATACCACTATTTGTTTGCCAAAAGTCATCACCGAGCTTCGAAAAATCAACCCGAAACGTTTTTTGTTTCACGACTAGTTAGAATTCTTTTCTAGCGCCCCTCGTAGTTGGCCGTGATACCTACCTGAAATCTACTTTTCTATACTAGTCCAAATGGGTTACATCTGGACACTTCCTCGATAACCCATATATTTTCCCGTGTATCTACTCGTCACTTTCGTGATTTTGATATCGCGGGTAAATAAAAAACGTGTATCATTAATCAATTTACTTTATTGCAGAGTCAACACACGGTAAGGAAAAAACGTACAGAGCTTGCTGATATGTTTGCCGTAACAAAAAATCAGGTTGAAAAGAGTTTGACGTGTGTTTTGCACTCCATGGTGGCCATAAATATATAAATACAGTACGGGAGGAAAATTTACAAGAATTAGGAAGACAGGAAAAGTAGCGAAAAGCTTCCACGGAAATCAACATACAAAAAATTGTCTTTTTATCTCGAGTTGCTGGTTCAAATATCTTTAAAAGGTCTACAAAACTATTAGGTTTTTAATATATTTTGAAAGTAAAAAATTTGACGCAGATTTTTAAAATGGTTGTAAAACTGTATTCTTCCCTCCGAATAGAAGCTTCTAGTCACTTTTGCATACCTTCCGCATTACATAGCTGCCAGTTTGTGCACCTTTTTTTTCGATTCACACCACAGAGTACGGGAATTCGTTAAATACAATGACCGCTAAATTCTCACGTTATTGTATATCTTTTGTATAGTAATTATTACACATTATAATAACAAATATTTTACTTACAGCTATATCTAGTTACATACATATAGATACAAGTTTTATACTGGTGCTCAAAAGTGTTTACATACTCAAAGCGCCATCTGCAGCGCTATATGTTGAAAATATGAAGTTTTGCTAGATCAATATTATTACTTTTATAACTGATCAGAAAAAGAAATATCGAATATTTTTATTCAAGGGTATATTTTCGAGCAGACTATTGATAGCCTTCTTTTTTAACTCAATTTGTTTGTAGATCCTATCCTTTAATTGAGGATCGCTTTATGTCCGTAAGCATTTTTGGTCGGTAGTGTATACAAATGCTCTGTAGAGCGAGGGTTATTTACACGTTTTCTTTATTTTATGCACGAAACTAAGACAAAACGTCCCAGCGTTCTAAGGAACGGAAGGGGTGGGGGAATATATCACATTTACTGTACAGCACACTACGCTTTTTTGGGGGGACCGGTTAAGTGGAAAATCTTCTAGCATAAAGTCAAAATTTCGTCTCGACTGAACGTTTGAATTAGTTTACTTTTGACGTATAGTGGATTGGAAAATATTTGCTAGTGAACCATATAAAACTTTAAGTTTAAATAATACTTATTATCAGTTTAGTGTCAAAAGTGAATGTTTAATCCAACCTTAGTGTGATCATTTTAGTAAGCGAAATAAACTTGGTAATTCGTTTCAAAATAATTTCAGTTACAATCCACTCGATGACGATGTAAACTAGAATCTGGTATACTTTTACTCATAACCACTTAAGAAGATTCCATATCTGTTTGTCTCCACTTATTAGATACGAAGACTTTTTGAGTCATTATTCAGGACGCTGCCGCTGTTTTGATTTACAAACAAAATTTAAAAAAAAATTGAGACACTGATAGATAATAGCTATGATGTTTTGATCGGTGCTAGATTTGATGCGTCAGTCTATGCTTGAATCAATATTTATGAAGATTTTTTTATATTTGTTTAAAATGTCAATAATATTTATTGTCAAGAAATTTCATGTCTACTGTTTTTTTACGGACATATATCAACGTACTATCGATGATAGAAATATTAACCCAAGCAAAAAGATGAAGTTTATAGACTGCATCCCTTCATTAACACTACTTACTAATAGTCAACAAAAGTCGAAAGTTTGAAATATCAAATAAGCTTAAAAATCGACTTAAAATAAACTGATTTTTAATGACTCTTCGGGGTCTTATAGAGCAACCTTCTAACTTTGATTAAAAAAATATGATTTTACGAATTTTTAAACATTTCTTGTTCAAACTGTTCCAAGAAAATCCGAAAAATTTGGCCGGCAGAAAAAACATTTATTTATCGAACGGATACCTTTTGTTTTATGATAAGGGGCGCGAGATTTTCACCTCTTCCAAACTTCTTACATCTGTTTAAGAATGATCACAAAATATCGAGTTTTTGGTTATTTTCTTTTTGTTTAATTACAGGCCACTCTATAACTTGGATCAAGTAATTTAAAAACTTTTTTCCCCCGGACAATTTCTTTTTCAGATTTTCTGTATCATTTTGTTCAAAGCCGGCCTCCAGTAACTTTCTTCAGAAGTTGGTCGTTTTCGAATTATAAGCGATTTAAAAACCCTAAAAATGGGTATATTCGATACAAGACCCCGAAGAGTATTTCAAGATTAGTTTATTCTGAAGCGACTTTCATGCTTGTTTGTTAGGCCAAAATTTTGCCTTTTCGCAGACTTTACATGTTAAGAAAGTTGGTTACGATCAAAATAAAGTCTCGCGTTTTTCAAACATCTCGTTTGTCTATGCTTTGACAATGGAACAATTTATTAATGTGGCTATTGTTATAACGTAGCAGATATAGATGACGTCAGTAACCATTTTTTTACAGTTTGGGCGGGAATGATTCGTCAAATACCTCACACATTCATCCACTCGAGTGACAAAATGACAGATGAAAGTACAGACAACGATGGTACAAAATTGTAAAAGATCATCATCACTTTACCGGTCAAAGTTCGAGGTTTAGTCCTTGCGCTCACTAGAGGTAGATCATGGCCATTTACCGTTGGCCAGCAGCACAACAGGTCAAGCCTTATTCAAGGCGACCGGCTTGATCGGCGTTTCCGAGCCCGAGGACAGTGATGACGTCGACGAAGGTGACATCCTGGATGAGGTCGTCGTCAGACCCAGAGGAAGACCGATACTGCTGAAACAAAAAGGGTGAGGTCATATTTATCTATCTTACTTTGTAGGGACATTGACTTTCGTCTGATGCCAACTTCTGAAAAGAATAAATAAACGAAACTGACCTAGAGCTGGATGTGGCTTTGGTAGCTGTGGAGGCGGCCGTCGCGGCGATCAAGTTCGCCGCGCCTAGGGTCCGCTGGTACGTCTCCAAGAGAGACGCGTCAGGGGATCCGCTCGAAGCCGCTAGATGTTGAGGCGTGTACAGGCTGCGATAGAAGTCGTGCGGCCTCGCGTACGGCGTCGAATGCAAACCTGGAGGGGGCAACCTAGAGCTTAAGCTGGGGACCAGTCTGCCGGCGGCTGTTGAATATAACGTCGAGGAGGGACTCTGGAAGAGGAAACTATATTTAGAAATGTTAAAGTTCGTTAAAACTTATACAGATGCTGAACGTATTTCCAAGAAAATGCCTAACCGTATTTAGGCCAGGATATCTAGATCTAAATGCGGTGGTGTCGTCACTGACACGCTGCTACAGGAGAAATATTTGTATATTTGGAGTGCGGCTTAACTGTATTTATATCTACAGATATATTTTCCTAAAATGTACCACACATTTCGCCTAGACTATAATTTATGTTACTGCATCAAGACTGGCTCGGTACTTTGACGTTTAATAAAAAAAGTTAGCCAGAAAAATTCTCAATACCCCTCGATGTGGAGCCTCATCATATATCTGTTGTGAAACAGCTCATTATTGTTCTGAATCGTGGTCGATTTTTGTCTAGGTCTCATGCTTATGTTACATATGGTATTTCGTTTAAAACAGGAATTTTTTCGTTGACTTACCGTATGTGGAGGTCCGTCACTTTCTTTGCTGGCCATGTCCGCCAGCGACCAGATCCTTGGTTTCGAGGTGACAGACGCTGACAGTTGAGGCGGCGATCCTGACGATCTAGGGGGTAAGAAGGCGGGGTGAGGAGGTCGCTCGTAAATCTCGGGGCTGTCTGGCCCGCTATCAGGCCGGGACTCACTCCACTCGCTCGCTGTGTCAGCGCCTGTCAGTCGGGGGTGCGGGGGGCGGTCGCCGTCTTCGCTCGACGCCGTACCGCTGTCTTTGGAATCTGGAACAACGGAAACTATAGGTCAAAACGAATGCAATTTCGAATCTCATATTGTAGTGTTCTTGACTACTTTTACTCTGTTTGAAATTTGTTCGGATGTGCTTGTTCTATAGTCTCAACAAATTTTGCTGTTTTGTGACTTAACACTTCTATCATTTAACATCTACTTCGACCTGTGTGAAAACGCAAGTGTATCAAGCATCAATAAAGAAATAAAATGAAATTAAGTGAAATTAGTACTGGTCGACAAGAGACAGACTTTAAAATCCACCTTGTGACATTTGCGATGTTTTTATAATTGGCTGCTCTCGAAGTTCTTCAACAAAAAAGCTTACCTAAAACATCTTTTCCATCGGTGCTTTTCCTGTCATGTTCATCGTCATCGTTATTATTGTCGTCGTCCTCGACTCGGTTCCTGGGTTCCCAGGTCATTTTGTTCTCCTTTTTAAGTCTCCGCCTAGCGTTCGCGAACCACGTGGACACCTGCGTCAAGGTCATCTTGGTGATGATGGCCAACATGATCTTCTCGCCTTTGGTCGGATAAGGGTTCTTCTTGTGTTCGTTCAGCCACGCTTTCAGCGTACTCGTCGTTTCTCGCGTCGCGTTTTTTCGACGAGCGCCGTTCAGGTCCATGCCGTAACTGAAACAAAAGAAAATATATTCAGTATGACCGTAAGAACAAATTGTTAATTACCAGTGTATGATGAGGGTAGGATCAACTTTAACATATATTTTTCACGAGTATTTGTTATGAAAAAATAAAAGCATCTCGTAATATTTCACAATTTCCCATATCGACAAGTGTCACACAAATCTGTCGTATCCGTCAACGCCATTTTGTACTTGATAACTCTTTTATTTAGAACAAATATTTCGCATATAAAATAGTACCACGAGTGATCATCCCGTAGCGCCTTAGACGCGCCACATAGGCGCCATACAGGTCGATAGATACCCTGAACCGCATACGCTGAGAAATGTACACGTCGATGTCAAATAATGGAGAGTCTGCAAATGTGTATTATTCGCCGCCGATGGGGGCTTCATCGGTCTATAAAAATTGGATAGGCCGACACATAAGGTTATTCCAGCTCTGGAATCACATGGGGCGAATCTCTCTTCGAGGCACTAGACCTTTCTAGCAGCTGCTGCTATTGACGAAATGTGTGCCAGATTTGGTCCTCGGTGATCTAGACTTCGACTGGCTGTAATGACCTGAAACTTATCCTGTGGTTCTGATGCTGATGAGACTCCACGACTTTTCGCGTTCTCGGAGGACGTTTGGCGTTTTCGATCCGATCAGCGGGGGTGACATGTCTGGTACGTCCAAGTTAAGGAACAACCTCATGCTAGCTTGGAGGGAGGGAGGATCAGCACATCTTTTGAGTGCGAGAGGCTATCTATCTATGACTTTACTGGTTTTCGCATAAGAGCGTAGCATGAGCATGAGCCTCTTCATGAGCTTACTCCACAATTGCATCCCCATGCTTTCCACGTCTAAACCAAACAGATTGCCTGAACGCGTTGTCCTTCGCAACAACAACTGCTCCCCTTACGATCGTCGTCTGTCCTCTTTTCCCTTTTTTCTTAATTTCCCCGTCGGTCGCGTTTCCTTGGAGGTCCTTGCGGGCATGCGCCGTTGCCACGTCTTGCGCTGTTCATTGGCGAACGGCCGCGGCTGCGGCGCTTCGGAAACGATCCGCATGGCGCTTCGCGATTAGCGATTGCTATGGAAACAAGCCGATAATGCGATCGCCCGCACCCCCCGCTCGCCCTCCCAACGGTCCTGGTGGTTGCTCAACACGAACAGGGGCGTGTTATACAACGACTACCATGCGTGGGTGTCAGATGGATGGGCTTAACAAGGACCGAACCGACTAAACGGATTCTTAGTCATGTTGTCGTATCTTTGAAGCTTGGATAGTCTTAGGACGAGTATTTTTTATGCCTGACCAAGTCCCTATTGCGTGAATTATAGTACGTCTTACGTCCCACAGGATGTTTGCAAACAAATAGAGGATTAACTTGCTGCTTCAGACAGGCAACCATGGTCGCCGTTTTGTGCTTCTTGACAACTCATCAGCATTTCAGACTTATCAGTTACCAGAATCAACCACTGCTTTGCGCTGTCTTATTTCTATAGGTCTCGTACATTGGGTGGAGCATAGTTGATATGCTTTTATTCGCTGTCCTAGAGACCAAGCCTACTCCAAAGAGTAGTTATATCAATAGAAGAGACTTTGTCGTATGGCTTGATAACCTACTGGTTAGGTTCAAAATACGTAAGCTTGGACTAGTTTTTAACATTCCATATCAGTAGACGATGTAACCAAAACTTTGCAGTCAGCTCTTGGACTATTACTGCTTAACAAATAAAAGCAAGGATCTATGTGCTTGGCTACCCAGACGGTGTTGCCAAGCTGCCATAAAATATTCATAAAACGCTACATTTATATTAGAATGGAATGGCATTTTTGGTGGTTACGTCAATGTCGTAGGAAACAAATATATCGTCATAAGGTCAGACTGCCTAGATAACTCGCAACCATGTAAAAAAGGTCGACGACTGGTCAAATAATCAATTTGGGGTTAGAAAAAAGTTAAGTTAAATAGTTATGTTCCAACTTTCACGTTTTGACAATAGCTGCTATGGCGAAAAGTATGATTTATAACTTTATTCAATAAAAAATATATTTCGTTGCAAATGGATGACAAATATCCGCGCCATGAATAGTCAAAATTAAATTTGTACAAAAAAGTTGCGTTCGCTACAATTGATGGTCAATAAATTCATTATCTATCTGACAACAACTCATTTATTTCCGACTAAGTACACCCGCGTTTAAACGCAATCAGTTATTTTGTGGACCCTATTTGGAGTCATCTCTTATCTCTCTCTAATTTTTTCTCCTTGCCCACCTGTCTTATGTTTATATAATTGCTCTTTGATTAGACCATGCTGGTGAGTTGCCAAAAAGCACGAAACAGCGTCTAATATACAACCAGAATAGACTGCCTCTAGCGGTCACAGTGGGCTACTTCAGAGACCTTTCCACTATGTTGAATATGAGCCATATTCTAGCAGAATCAGAAAAATAGTCGCTCCTGGAGTCACTCTTAGAAGAAAATTTCGTCTCACCGTCGTTCATCAGTTCAATCTCTTACTTCGGTTAACTTTGTGATGGAACGAATTTGGGAACATTCTCCAGAGAGTTTTTTAGTCTACTGCGCTCAACGTTTGACTTCCTGGAGTCACAGGAATCTAGTACAGCTGAGTGGCTTCAAAAACTTGATTTTGAAACGAAAAAGTCGTCGGAAAAGAAGTAGTTAACTATTCAAGTTAAGTAGAAGGGCTAGGTTGAAGTATTACACACTTGTAGGTAGCTGAGACATCATGGTCCTCATATTTGACTCAGGATGCCCTAGAACCGTGTTTTAAAGATCCTGGTACTCTAGAAAAATTGCCACTAAATAGCTGCGGTATTGATGCACAAAACAGTCAACTAAACAGTGTATTCCGGCGTAAAAAAAGGGATAAAAGATACTCTAGGCGCCGTCTGTAAGATAGTAGCAGAACACGAAAGTGAATTTATAAATCTACGTTGAAAATAGTTAGTGTGGTTAGTTCTGCTAGTGTCACATAGATGGGGCTAGGATCTTCAGTCCCTTTTTGACGGCTTTTTAATGCCTATTCCAATTGGCTATCATAGTACCACCTGTGAGACAATATCAGAACTAGACATCCTATACTTTTTATTAGATTTTTAACTTCACTTTTGTGTTCTGCCATTATCTCATAGATGGCGCTAGTTCATTTCAGAGCAATCTCTTTGGAATATACTATATGGTTGATTATCTCTTGGTAGAAATCGTTATTACATTGGTTACTGTTGAATCTATTTTTCTAGGCAATAGCCGAAATTTTGAATCGAGAGATTCCCTTGTACCATCCAGCCATCTCCGCCATAGTTTATCGCGTCGCATCGTTGACGAGGTGGCAGTGTGCCGTGAAAAGGGGAGGCTTATAGATGGGAAATTAATAAAGCTGTCAGTTATCGGCAGCAGCGGCGGCGGCGAAACGAACCAACCGTGCGGAACATTTCAATCTGATGAGGCTCACGGCGAAGCGGCAACGCCCAGCGTCAAGCGGCGTGTTTGCAGACGCGCAAATGGCGCTGCTGCTCGCTTTAAAATATGCACGCCGGAGAACGGACGATGGGGGGAGATTTGGGGGGCATTTGGGAGGGACGGTTTTTCAACCGGAAAGATGGCACAGACAGTGACGGATCCAACTGAGGGATATTCAAATGCTATAAGGATGCACAGAGACCTCTCTACAGTCGACTGAGGTTTCGACGTCAGAAAATGGGTTCAAGCAGATTTGAGTCACACTTCCGATGAAATTCTGTTTTCAACTGTTGTAATACGATACTACAATTGATTTTTTTTTTGTTTACACAACACTAGGTAGTAAAAACATATTGACATGTATAGAAATAAATAGGACGTATATTCAAAAAACTGAAATGTTCATTCGCATATTACATGAAAAACTTCTTGTTAGAAACGATACACCTTTTCTTCTGGAAGGTCATGCTTTTGTGTATAATTTTGGGGATTTGGTAAGAATTAAATAAGGCAACAGAATTGTAAAAAACCCATAAAGCCTTATGAGGTCATATTTCATAAAATTTAGAATATTTACGCTCTTTTAGATTGCCGAAAAACTTTGGATGAAACAAACTGATATGGTTGCTGTAGCCTAGCTCTAGTAACGCGGAATCAATCCATTCACGGAAAAGTTCATTCATTGCAAAAATATATACAAAAATATTCACAAAAAAGGACAATGGACACAGAATAATCAAAAATCGACATCAAACATTTCCCCTAAAATCAACACTATCCTTTCTTTACGCATAATCTCGAACCCAAAATGTATTTCAGAAATACGTACGATTCATAGTAATAATAGCAATAGTTTTTAATAATTAAAACACGATGAATTTGATATATTTTTTCTGGCATGAGAAAAATTCTAACAATTGTATTATTTTTTTTAAATCAGAATTGTTAACTGTTTGACAATCTAAAATTATTTGTTTTGTAATGTTAACTTTAAGAAGAAGCATGATTTGTGGCTGCGTAATATCAGTAACCGATAGACTATTTTGAGAAAATTCGGAAAGTGACTTGCTTTTGTGCCATAGGAACTATAACTGTATCTCTAGCCTAATTCAAGAGGAAGATGCCTAAAGCAAGAAATTGAAACATCTTAAACCTCCTCCAACATTTTTTTTGAGTCGCGTTTTTTGTCGTTAAGGTAAGTACACGACGACCTATAAACGTTGTTTTCATAACCTTGAAAAATATTAACAGACATTGAAATCTGCATATTTAGCAAGATTTTATAGACAAGGATTCGTTCACTCTAAGAAAATTTGCTTCTACCCGCTCTTCCAGTTTTGGGGCAAGCACGCTTTTACAGAAAATTATCTCTTTGTGATGATCGGCCACCCCGAGTTAAATTCCTAAAGGCGTCCATAAGCTTGACAATGTTTTTCAAATAAATTGCTCCTTCACCGTATTCGTAAAACATGAACATAAATTATCAGATCAATGGAAAGCCAAAAAGCTCGTC